TTAAACACACGCTATAATTCACAACGAACGATTCACATACTTTACTTACGGTGGTTATCGGTGTCCATAACTTCAATCTCCCTCTCTGCTACTCCAGTTCCGAATCATCCTCTCCTTTGTCTGGTGTGCTTATATACAATCAAAAACGCGCGCGTAGCACGCACTAACGTCTTCGCGAATCTTCTAGACACTCATCACGTGTTACCAGCGTCACGTGACTTCCGCTGTCGTAACACATAGTTCTTGCAGTGGAAGATTATTTTAAATTATCCTATAAATGTATGCAAAGCCCAATACCCATAAAAACAATATATTTGTTTATTTCATCCTAACGTTTTTGCAATCTGCTTTCACTGTACACATTTGTAGGCCAGGTTTACAAATCCTGCTAACTGCACTGCATACTAACGTAAATAATCAACTTACTTGTACAGAGCATCTCAATACTCGCGCGATAGCTAACACAGCTCCAAATACTTCACTAAAAAAGAACACATATTGATTGATCCACTTTTCTGGTTAGAAACAACTCCTTATTTTCTTAGTTAACCTTTCTAATGCTTTGCAAAACCTCGTATGTTTAACTTATCCCTAGAATTTACTAGAAACTTACTGTCAAATCCTTAGAATTTTCTAGGCCTGATTTAACATCGTCATCATAACCTACAGCTCCATTTAACTAATATCTAAATTACAACATTAAAAATATAGTTTATAATATATATCATCTCATTATTTCTTTTAACTCTATTTTGAGTTAGCTATTTCGACGACTTCATTGTACATAATATTTGATTGTATTGTTCTACATGTTGTGACCATTAGAGCGAATGAATCCCGAATTTTATTGTTATAAGCCATCGAGCTTACCACTGACCCATCAGATGAGTAATTTACCCCCTAGTTGTTCCCCTCATAATATTTTGCTTCCATATAAAGAATTTTCTTACAGTATATCGTTTTGGGTTTATTGTCAATACTTGATGTGCGCTTGTCATTTTTACTATCCTCAATGGGATTCTGACGCATCTATGAAAGACAAAGAAAATACATAAATAGGATAGTAATGACAGACCACCGTGTTATTGTATTTAATTTTGAGTCTTGAAATGTACAAGAAACTTTCAACATTTTCATTCTTAAAAGCTTGATTTGTTTGAGTGCAAAGCTACACAATGGATTATCTGTGCTTGGTCCACCAAGAGGAATCTAACTCCGGAATTTAAAGCTTTAAGTCCGTAAGCTTTCCGTTGATAAACCGAGCGACAAGTTTTGTTTGCCGACATTATGAGTGCTGGAATGCCATCTTCTGATAATATATTTTTCATTGCACCCAGTGGTAGGTAATTAATAAAATTTTCTCTCAGTTTTACTAGATTTAAATACTTTCTGTTTGATTTGGAAAGTTGTGAGCTGGAGTATTTATATTTGTATTTAACATAAAATTAATTCAAAGATTGCACCCCACAACGCATTTCTGACAAAGTGTATAAGTCCACTTCTAAGTTCGTAATCTTAAGGCATGCGACTCCCTAGTCTTCAGCGATGTTGTTTATTTTAACGTATACAAATAGTTAAAATACATGCACAAGTTGAAAGAATATTACCGGACATGTATTCAAAAATATTTTCTTTATTAATAAATAGATATAGATAAACATATTGGCATGACTAGCATTAAGTGTGCAATAATTACTTGGCTTAATTTATAAGACAGCTTTTCACATTTTGATATTAACGAAGAGAAGTTAGTCTAGCCAATTAAAAGCAGGAGTGTACTAGCCAAATATCAATATTGTTTGTTTAATTTCTGTTTAAATATTATGCAAGTAAAATAAAACAAAAAATACTCTCTGTGTCAAGAATCCAGGGAAAGATAGTATGCAGCCTAAAGCGTGTCATTAAAAGTTTTGGCTGTGAATATTACTGAAACACTGGCATTAGTACCGTGAAAAAATAATGACGTCATAACTTATTTGCAAATATATACCTACATAAATTTCTTGTTATTTTCTACAAAATACACATGTTTATAGCTTGCTTGTTATCGCTTTTTAGCAGAGCAATTTATATAACTTTATTTAAAGACTCCTTTGTTTGTACTTGCTCATGATTAAAATATATTATGTCAGCCATGACTGGAAGACAGCTGATTGTGGGAACAAGATGGTGATGGTTGGACTAGAGGTGGGAAATGTCTTTGTACAGTTATCAGCATTTTCTTCGTCACCGATAATTATTAAAACGTTTGGGTATGGATACAACCCAACCTGCCTTGCAAACCAAAGACACGTGTCAAATAATTAGAAACGTACATGTGTCGCTGGACAATGACTTAAATAAAGATCAATCAAGGACTACCTTAAGCGTAAGTGACAATTGTGTCAATGGCATCGGGAATGGATGTAGCGTTAGGCCTAAATGTAGGCCTAACGTCAGCTTACATTGTACAGATGAAATTAACAACAGTGTTGGCCTCCAAAGTAATATTCTAGAAATATGCAGTGATCAGGAAAGTCATCATGATACACAGCATACTGAAGTTGAAAGTGAAATTTCTAACAAAAATTGTATAAATTCTGATGTTACTGCTGGTAACACGATTGTTACAACTTGTGAACGAGTGTCAGACTCAAGGGCATTACCACTGGAGCCTGAGGATGGAGAAAAGCAATCTGTTTATTATAAGACTTCTTCAAAGTCGGAAAGAATTAAGACTTGTATACAGAATTCTGTGAGGTATGGCATAATTTTAATGTTTTTATGGGTGATCGGGAACACTGCATTTTTAGCTTTAAAATCAACAGAAATAGAATATAAATTAAGTATAATTATAAAAGTTGATGATAATAGATTCATCATTAAATGGCACATCAAGGTCACTCTAAATATTCCAGTTACATAATATTAATATCACAACACAAGAATAAACAATGGGTTAATAAAATTAAATCATTCAAGGTCATTCACTAAATGTAAAAATCATCTCTTGTCTCCTACATCAATCAAGGTTGACATTGGTCATGAATGATGAAAACTTTGAAATTATGAAAATAAAAACATTTTACAGCTGTTAGTTTTGTTTTGAGTTTATTTACTGTTTTAAGTATATTTTAATACAATGTACAGCTTTGAAAATAAAAGAAAAATTTCTTCAGCTGTATTTTTGTTGAAAGAAAATCAGTCATTTGTTTTCTTACCCAGTGGAACTCAAAATTTGGAAAGCTTTTTATCAGAATATTTCATCTTATAAAACTACTTTTTAGCTTTTTGTTAATGAATATTTCTTCTAAAAATTAAAATACTAAGTCTCATCTTTATTACCACACATCCAGTATCTTTAGCCTAATTAAAGCTTTATTTCAGTGTAAAAATCTATTGCATGTACCATTTCAAATTCCATCTTAGAAAACACCTTTGCAAAAACATCTAAAATTTGGTTCCATAATGTTAAGTACCAAGTGCATTGGGAAGACAATGAAATGATGGATTATCATAAGTCCATAAAAATTAAAGTAAAATGCTTGTTTATAATTTTAAAATGTTCATATCAACATAGCTGATTGATGCAAATGTAAGAGATGCTGAGCATGAATTTTATGTTGAAATAACCCCTGATTCAAAGAACATGCAAACAGTTAAAGGACTAAGAAGATTTCTTTCATCTGCTTTAGAAGGTTATTATGGTTAAAGATAGTCTTTCACATCCATTATCCAGTAAGATATCAAAAAAATCTAACTAACACTACACACCATATTGGGCAAAGTTTTCACAAGTTTTACTTGTCCAGAAATTTTCTCAAAGAAAAAGTTTGTATCTAGGCTTGTAAAAGGTTAAATCTGTTATCCCTTGTATTAAAGATTGTGTTTCCAACCTGTTTTCTCCATCATTCAAACAGAACATGTATGGAAAGGATTACAACAATTTTGATCACCTGTATCAAGTCTCCTCTCAAGTCCAAAACTCCAAAGCCTCTTCCAGAAGCTTCAGACTTAGACCAGATACATAGATATTTCTAGTAGCTTATTTGTGTGTACCTTCCTAAAATATATTTATATCCTTTCCATATGAAGGGGGTCAAAACTCCATGAGTGTTACATTGCATTTGAGACCTAACCTAATTCCTAAACAAGTTTAAAATAACATTTTTGGAAACTTTAGTGGACTGTAACTGCCTGTTGAAAGAAAAGGCGACAGCATTTTGGCATCTATACTGATGCCTTAAGTTCCATGAAACAATAACATTTTTGCTGTAAAACTCGAAATTTCAATAAATAAACAAAATACCTCATTTTGATGCCACCACAGCTAACAGCTAAACACTTAGCAGAAATTTTTATCAATAATCACATTTAACTCATCCTTTTCAACAATATTAATCTCTTATTCAAGAAGTAATTCCCATTCAAGTTTGTATTCCAGATGATTAACAGTTACACTTTCTAGTATTGTAAGTGTGCAATTCATTTTCCATGTTATGGCCCTTACACTAAGACTATTAACATCTTTTTGAAGAAGAAATGCATTCTAAGTAATTCAGCATTGCCTGAATTTTGTATAATCCACAATTGTAGGAATGTTACTGTTCAAATTGTTAGAGTAAATATTGAATAAAATAATCCTAATTAAATTTTTGAAAGACCACACAAATCACATTCTTCCAGTTAGAAGAGTACCTTTTTTGTTCTTTCTACCACAAAGCCAAATTAATATTCTCTTAAACTTTTGTCCAATTCTGTATGTGCCCAACCTAGCAGATAATCTCCTGTGAGACACATTATCAAAGTTTTTTTTAAAGTAACTGTAAACATCATTCAGGTACCTTTGTCCATAGAGATGTAATTTCTTGGTAAGGAAATAAGCACTGTTACAGAACAACCTTGATAATTTTTAATCAAGTGCTTGCTTTTCAAATGTTTTCTTTATAACTTCTGACAATGTATTCAAAGACCCTGCTGATAAGAGAAGTATGAACTGTAGGCTTGTAGGTTCTTAAAACCTACCTGACCTTCTCTTTTCGAAAATAAGTATCATTTTGGGCATCTTTTAATTATCAAGAATTTCTCTTTCTCTTTAAAGGAACTTCTGTGGTTTAAGAATCTTATCAGGGCCAGGAGCCTTAGTCTAAAGAATCTATTGAAGCTTTTATAGAACAATTGCATTTTCACCATAAATATAATTTAAGAAGATAACCTTACAAAAACAGTTAGCTTGAAAATCTCATTTTCTTATTTAAATGTAATAATAAAATAAATACTAAAGTTAAAAAGTGAATATGAAAATTTCTTAGCTTAAAATGCCAAAATGATTTGAAATTTACATATCAGCATATCATTCTAATAGTTACAATCTTGACTATAGGCTGTCTAAACAGTAAGATTTTTGTAAACTCCACATTCAAACCACTTATTTTTCAGTTGCTTCAATGTGGCTGTTAAGCATACTCCTTTTCTGAGATGTTTTAAACCCATGACCTTGAAATGGTTCCTTGCCTCAGGCATTTTCTCTAATAAAGTCTATTTTGAGCATTTCACTTCTAGGCTTAACTTTCTATGGAAATCGTTTCTTTGTTCTTCTGGCTTCTTGGTATAGTTGTTTAGACTTGTACATTATGTGAGTGGTGGTTTTAGAACTTTGCATCTGTGATGTTTAGACCTCTTTCTACCTCTTTCCCCCCTTTTTTGCTCCCTATAACATTTTGTTTGTTGATAGGGTTATAGAATATTTTCTCTTTTTTATAATTCTTCCACTTTTAATGAACTTGCAAATTCTTCTAAGTAGGAAATTGATTTGCTTGGTGAGGGCTGTTTGTACAATCATATTTATTTCTTGCTGCTTGTAATCATTGCATTATACATTATAGAAACTTTCTGGCAAATTGCATCAATTTTGCATGCCACTTCTCATAAAATATGACATCTGGCAATGTCTTTGGCAGTTCTTGCAGACACCTTGGATGATTTGAGTATTTTTGATTTATTTATATTACATCCCACTGGATTGTATCCCTTTGCAACATTCTTTTAGAATTGTCTACATCCTTGTGGCAGGATGTTGATTCAGTGGGGAGGCTTCACCTTCACCACTCATAATGTTTCTCTTAGTTTTCACACTGAAGACTGTTGTCTTACAATTTTCTAGTATCAAATAAGATTTCCTTCTTGATATCTAATCTTATACTGCCAATTTGTATGATTGGAATTCCTGTTTATGTAAATTATTTTCAATTGTACGTCACCTTTGTTCTGGAAGATATGCCTTTCTAGCAGATCTTCCCAGGTCAACTAGCAGTTGTGTTGTGTGGCTAAGTTTTAACACAACATGTGCTGCTTTCCATAAGTTGCTGAAGCCTCACAATCTTTGTATTTTCTGCCTCTCTTTTGCATTTTATGTGCTAGGTGTTTTTTTAAATGTAATTCCAGGGTTCCTATTAATTTGCTGTATTACACATAAGTGTCAAAGGCACAGGGTAGTGGTAGGGAAGGAAGTAATTTTTCTCAATGAATTTCTAAGTTATGATTAGTATATCCATCACTGTCTGTTAATGTTTGGAAATGATCCTAAAAACTGTGATTGGTGATTTTTAGACAAATGTAGTACATTTTGTTTGACATGTGCAGTTGCACATGCATACGTAGGCACACATACAAATCTAATTACCCATTCTGTTTGTCACAAACATCAAGGGCTATATTCAGCCACACATCACCAATACAATTTTAAATACTCGTGGGGAAAGCAGAAATGTATTATCTACAGAAATGTTTGAGCATCATAATAATAAATATATATAGTGTTGTGATTGTTCATGAAGCAGAGAGAGAGGATGGCAGCCAAAGGCAGTAAAATCGAATTGACATCATTTCAAGATTATGGGAAATTAAAGGTTGTTGGTTAAAACACGATAGAAGGAGGAGAGAGAATATATTATCCTGAAGAGGATCCAGTTGAAAGCAAATAGAATCAAAATTAAAAGGAACCCATTGAAGATATCAGTGCTGTGTAGTTTCTTCTTTTTTATAGTGTTGATAACTACTAATGTGGTGCAAACATTAATAGCTTAAAAAAGTAAATATTTTGTTGCTATTTCACTCTTGTGACATCTCTTTAAGCACCTGTGCAATTTGCATGTGCATGTGAATCACCACACGGTTTTTCACACAAAAAAGGCCTGCAAAATCAATTAATCAAGTATATATATATATATATTTGTTTTCTGGTAAAATTAATATGTATATGAAGAAAGCAGGTATTCGTTACACTTATTTTACCAGTGAACTTTAAAAATCATGAATATTAAGAGTTGAAAGCTATAATATAAACAAATAGGATGTGTATCCTATGTTACTTTCAAATTCATTAAGAACTTATCACAAATAAAAACCATTATCCAAATATGTTACCCTCTCATTATTTAGTCCTTAATTTTTCTTTTTTGTTCCCAGTGCAAATCATTTTGTAAATGTTTTATGAAGATTGCTTTTAAAATGTAATAATTTAAAATAAGTTCATATGATGGATTTTATCTCTTGAAATATAATTGCCAATAGGCTAGAGATATCCATTGAATAGTGATTGAGGAAATTATGTGCTGCAGGTACAGATTACAACCTAGAAAGCTTCATGATTAGTGGTATATGGCCATTATTAATCATTAAGTTCATTAATCAATTACATCAACTAATTGATTATTTTCACAAAACATGGATAGTTGGAATAACTAAAAATAATAATCAAA